ATATTTTGGAGTTCTGGCTCCCGACATTATTTTCCACTTTATTTGTGTGGTTAGGCCACCCTTCAACAAATCGCAATAATATTTTGACAGTGCCGTTTGATTATTTTTACATTTATTTTTGAAGGATTGGCGATGTTTGTACAGTCGGTGTTTTCAATTTCCAGACGATATTCCTATGTACATCTTTCTCTCCTCTACCTTCTCTTTGGGGAAAATTGTTCCTTCATATATTGTATTCTCCGCCATGCATATTCCTTCAACTGGGCACTCTGATCCTGTCCTGCAGTTGCATGTTGATTTTTCATTTGGCTTGTATTATGATTTTGTTTTAGATTGTCATGAAGGTCTCTCAAGATTTTACTATTGTGTGAGTTAATAATTCTTTCCATATTGTTCATGCAAGAATAGCTAATCTTTAAATTCATCTTGTTGAACATCTTTTTTAGAAATGCATTTTTTCTAAAGTGTTTTTCTATCAATATTATGAAGTATTTACCTATATTAATATTACAGAGTTTACAAAAAGGTGGGTTGAACCATATAATTTTCCTTTTCCTATTTTTGGGTTTAGTGGATTTTTTATTAACTGACTTGTCTATATAATTTAGTGTCTGTTTAAAATTACTTTTTAATAGGGCTTTATAATATTCCAATTTATTTTGGTTACAAATGGTTTTACTAGAGTTTATTTATTCATGCATTTACTGTATTTGGAATTTGTTTAATTCGGGTGATTAGCGTAGATATTTATATATATGGGTGGTTGGTTTTGTTTTTGGAAGGGTTTATAAGTGTTATTGTTCAGATTAAATGTAACGTCTAAGACGTTTACTATATTTAAGTTGGAAGAACTATCGATTTTAAACCCTAGAAATTTGAAAGCATTAATTATTTTCTTTTGCAGTTGGGATGTTAAAGGACCATTGTTATCAGGTACAACAACTAATCCGTCATCTCTGTATAGTCCTATATTTTGAGGGTCAAGGAATCTACTTAGGATATCTAAGATGTATATACCTATTAGGTCAGCTATTTGAGCTGAATCAAATGATCCCAGTGGGACATCGAAGTTGTCTCTGTCTTTTTCAGTTCAGTTTTAGTATGGACTGTCTAGAGTCCATTATGATTTTTATTTCTTCGTCAGTAATATCAGTGTGGATTTTGGCAAAACTTAAGCTATTTTCAAATAATTCTTTAGAAATTGAGTGGTATGAGTATATATATATATATATATATATATATATATATATATATATATATATATATATATATATATATATATATATATATATATATATATATATATATATATATATATATATATATATATATATATATATATATATATATATATATATATATATATATACTAATTTATTTATTTAAACTTTACTTTTTAAATTCATACTCACCTTTTAATAGATGGTCTGTTTTTATTTATTTTTTTATTACACAGTATATCTATTTATTTTCTTCTACCAGCCTGGATACCTGACAAATCATGTTAAAAAATGTGCGCCATCCTGCAGGATTCGAACCTGCGCCTCTTAGGGGAGACCGATATTTGTTCTGATGTGCCGGTAGATGTAAATAAATATACTCTTTAAGTAATAAATTTAAAAATAACGTTTAAATGAATAATGTTTTAAAAATTTGTTCGGATTTAATCCATTTCTTAAGAAAAAACATTTCCTTTGTTTACATTAGGATACAAAACAGAGCAGATATGTATATATCGATAATTGGGCTGGAGATGTGTGTTCAAAAGCACTATTAGGGCTATTTTTGATCAAATATGGTCTAAAGCATGTCGATTTAATGACGGTTTCCTCTAGGGTACGCAGGTTCGAATTTTACCAAAAGATGCATATTCTTTCTAGCAAGATGTCTCGAATAATATATAAATATACAGTTTAATAAAAAAACAAAAAAACAGTGCATCTACTAAAATATGAGTATGTATATAAAAAATAACGTTTAAAAAATAAATTTGAGAAATCTGTTGGATTTAATCCATTTCCCAATATATATATATATATATATATATATATATATATATAGGGTGTATCAAAAATACTTTTACACATTTTGGGGCGGCTCCCTCACACCAAAACTAGGACAAAAATCCATATAAACATATGTCCGCAAATCCTTTGTTTTAATTATTAAGTTTAAATAAAGTTTACGGTAGATTGCGCTGTGTTGCCATATAGACTAGATTACATTTGTCATTCGTGTACGTTCTTGGCTAGTCTCTCTTCAACGTTTAAAGTGTGCTATAGTGAGTTAACTGAGAAGTGTTCCGTTTAACAATGGTAGGATTTCATATCATGGGCACACAGATATGATTTTTACATACAGCCGCGCGAATAGTAATGGACGCGAGCTGCACGGCTGTATTTGATTGCAGAGCGACGGCGAAGAGATGGAATAACAAATTTACACACCCAACATTTGTGGGCGCATCGGAATCCCCACGGTACAATACAGGCTAGACATCAACATCAGTTTACAATTAATGTGTGAGCTGGGATTTTTAGGTGACTGTCTGGTAGGTACGTATGTTCTCTCTGCACGTCTTAAAGGAGCTGTCTATAGGGACTTTCTTTCGAACACACTTTCAAACCTGCTAGAGGATGTACCCCTGCTAATACAAAGACGCATATGGTTCATGCATGATGGGGCTCCTTTGGATTTTTATCTCTGGAGCCACTTAAAACGATTGATTTATTCAGCAGACATTAACAATGCAGAGTCACATCATCACCGTGTTATGAGGCCTACAAAACCATACGACACAGTATGAGAGTAATTAATAGGGTCCGCCAGTCAATGATCCGACGGGTGCATGTGTGTGTAGAAGCAAGTGCAGGACATTTTGAACATTTGTTGTAAGTCGCTGTGTTGAGGTACAACGATGGCCATTTGGACATATGTTTATATGGACATTTATCTTGTTTTCGTGAGAGAAACCCGCCCCCAAATTTTGTAAAACTATTTTTGATACATCCTGTGTATACAGTTAAGTATAAAGTACTGGCTGACATCTCGTATTCGAGTATGTCTATCTGTAAGAGCAGTTAGCCAATTCTTATTACAGACGCCTGGGCAGGCACATTTGTATTTATTCAAAAGCCACAGAGCTAATCTGTGGTTTATACTGTAACTGTACAGAGCAGATCTTATTTAAAGTTTATAGGAGAGAGCGCATTATCTGGTGTGAGCAACAGTCTGAACAAGTCCAGTACACTCAAATCTTCGGTTAAGCTGACTTGCGACTTCGTGCGAGGTCACACACACACACACACACACACACACACACACACACACACACACACACACACACACACACATATATATATATATATATATATATAGAGAGAGAGAGAGAGAGAGAGATTTTCATGAAAATAAACGTTTCAAAGAATTACCTCTTAATTTTTATTAACGAGTTCGTTTCTCTCTCCCCTCTGTTTGTCTGTCTGTTTCTCCCCACCTCTCTCTCTCTCTCTCTCCTCTCTCTCTCTCTCTCTATATATATATATATATATATATATATTATTATTAAAAAAGGAAATGATTGACGTAACTCTTTCAATATTTGGCGACACTTAGAAAAGAGTGGGATACAATATTTCAAAATGTTCAAGGATATTTCGACAGTAGGTCTGTCATTTTGAATTTATGTTTAAAACTTGCGATCAAGTATAAAAATACAAACAATTCAAGTTTTGTAAAAGTGTCGTTTTTCCCAAGAAAAACAGTTTTATTGGTAAGCAAATTACAGTCGTTCGTGATAATTTTGACGAAAAAATAAGGTACAGGTTCTAAAAGACGGTTCAACCATTAAAACTCATGAAGATAATTACAAATGCAAACTACTAACGACCTACCCCCGGAGGAATAAACAAAATAACAGGAGAGTTCCATAAGATTTATAATAAAATATTATTAATTGCTCTTACTAACTCATCCACAACTGGAATATTTCAAGATGACAACGATCCCCAACATATGAAGACATTATAATTGAATTCCATGAACGCTGGCAGAGTTTCAATCGCTTAGTAGCATTGATTATCAGTAAAACCGTTTTTCACAGGAAAAGTGACATTTGTACAAAGATGTTTGTTTTTTAATATTTTTCGTGTAATTGTTCTTTTTATTGTTTTGTCCTTCTTCTTCTTCTTCTTCTTCTTCTTATTATTATTATTATTATTATTATTATTATTATTATTGTTAATTCTTTTTATGCATCAAATGGGCTCCCAACCAGGGACGTGACGTGAGAGACAGATTGTTATGATACAGTCAACTTTGCAAAATAGAGCCACTGTGTTTATTTTATTTAGGTTACAGCACATTTTACTGGAATATTACATACTAGGGAGACAATTACATCAATTACACATACATAAAATTGACCTAATTCGAATTATCCGAATTCGAGTCGAGTTCGTTAATTAAATTTATGCGCAAATATCTATGGTAAGAATCCATTTCTTTGTCTCTCGCTTGCTATGGGTTAAATAGTATGACAGTCTGGGATCGTTAGCCTTGGTTGTCCACCAGTTTAAGTGAACAACGACTCTGAATTCAAAAGAGTATATATTTCTGGCGAAGCGCATACTATTCAGCTAAGGCAAGTATCGTGAGATTCAGATTGATTCTATGATTGCGACTACGGTAGGTCTTCATTTTATTATTTCTTTTGATATCTATATATACATGTGCATTCTACCGGGTTTTAACCAGAGACCTCAGGTGACAGATGGTTTGTCACATAAGGAAAGGAAACTCACTGGTACTGGCCTCATTTCCATTGTTGAGAGAGTATATTTTAACGGTATATTACATGGTAGACAGGCAATTGCCTCACTTAAACGCACATCAAATGAAGCTTTAGTATATTTTGCCTAGTTTTTGAAGTACGTACGTCATTTACAGATCAAGATGATTTTTGCACATATCATACTTTCTTTTTTTATTTTTCTTATGAGGTGTGCTATTCCTGAACTAGCAAACGATACTTACGAAATTCAAAACGAAGCCCATGCTGAGCTGATTAAAGAATATATACCCGAAGATTTAGTGGATGGGAAACCAGTGTACAGTAGCTGCCATCTTTATGCCAATAAAAGTGTCCTAGGGAACCAGACACTGAGTAATTGTACTTCTTGGGTTTATGACAAATCAATAATTCAAACAACAATCACCAGTGACGTAAGTATCTTTGATATATCTTGTATATTTTTTCTGAGAGATGGAATCGCAATTATATGGAATCTCATAATCAATAATGGCATTAATAAAAAGCAATAATTTACTTGTGTTAGATAATAATAATAATAATAATAATAATAATAATGAAGCGAATGTAAGTATCTTGGCATTTGATAGGTCAACCAGGTGAAATTGAAATGAAAGATAAATTTCAAAGAGATTATTTCAAACGTATAATATCTTTTCCAAAAGAAATGATAGAATGATAGAAATATGACCAAAGGATTTAATAGTTGAACAATGCCTCTGCTACGCTCTTCGGAATCATTTTTAGATTAGATTTATATAACATTTGAAGAGATGGATAGAAGAATGCGAACGTTGGTGAATATATAGAAGGCTCTGAATCCAGATAATAATATCGATAGACTGTATATTCTAAAGAGAGAGGCAGAGGGTTAATGCCTGTTGGATAAGTTGTCTCATTGGCTGTTCTAGGACTTGAGAATTATCCTAAGAGTTCTCATGAATTGATTCTGATAACTGCATGAATAGTGGATGGGGATCTGGAATCGCAAAATGTTGAGTCTGACTGTAGCCAAGAAACCTCATAAGGAGAAGCGGCATATTAAGTTAAAAGAAAAGAAGCTTCGTGATAAGTTATTTTCAGGATTCAGAGACAACGGCTGGACCTGAGAGGCGGCCTTTGAATATGAAATGCTTTTATAAAAATAGAAACGGAATTAATCATACTTGCAGCATATGAACAGGGCATTTAATCAAGCTCATAACAGACAAATGACAAGAAGAAAGCAAATGCCATGTGTGTGGAAATGAGTAAATTACCTACATAGTCTGCGTATATCCCAAGTTTGCATAGAAAGAGTATAAGCAACGACGTGATGGTATTTGTAAGATAATCCATTGGTAATTATGTATTAAATTTGGCTTAAGTAAGAAAAAGGAATAGTAAGAATATCAGACAGAGGCAGTAGTAAAAAATGATAATCGAAATATATCATGAGATTTTTCGGTCGACTTTCTTGTTATAGATAATAAGAGTAATATGTGTCAAAATGACTGACATTGCTGTTTTATACGATACTAGAGTGGACTCCAATCAAACGGAAAAACTGAAAAATACCAGGATCTGGTTAGGGTATTGAAAAAGCTATGGAACATGCATATTGAATTAGTAATGGCAATGGGTACGTTTGGAGCACCATCTAGGAACTTGAAAATCGCTTTGGGGAAATTTAAAATGAGATACCAATATTGTAAACACCCAGAAAACTGCGATCTTTTACTCTACGAGTTTTCTCCGTAAGGTTCTTCACTTGCATGCTCTGACTCTATAGACCACATGAATCACTCCTTGCGGCTGTATCAGAGCGTCATGTCTGATTGTAAAAGATATCTGTTTGTCTCTGCTCGTAATGAGTGCAAGCGTGTTCACAAAGAAGCGAAGTTACGGTTTGCTGATAGAATTAAATTACTTATAGCACTCGGAAGTTCGGTTCTAGAGATTATAAAAGTCTTGTTTCTTCCTGCTTTCAAGCTTGTTATAAATCCTTCTCCGTAGTTTCTGTTTTTAAGAACTCTGGAGAACACGCTATTAGATTCTTAGCGCTTTTCAGCCAAGTATTCGAGGTGTCGTTAATCAATGCTGAAATGGTTAAGCATCTTACTTCTCAAGACCTCCACTTGGACTAATAATATGGCTTCCACTTCGCCAGGTCTACAACGGATGTGTTAACGGCCATCACTGAATATGTATATTACACTCTTGATAATATATATATATATATATATATATATATATATATATATATATATTCATACATGTTTCATTAAATAATATAGACAAGTGTTGTCGATTTATTCTATGTAAATTCTTTTCATAACGTCTGTAAAGCTTAATAACATTATCATTAAACGAAGAAAGAAAATCACAATATTGATACATATTTTTTAAAATCCAATCTAAGCCATTATCAAAGATGACAATTACAGTACAATATATGAAGCAATACACGGACAAGAATGTGATGATAGTCTGTTTCTGTTTACATGGATGATTTCCAAGCAACGATAAAGACGTGCATATAAGACGCTGGAAGCGAAAATCCCACCGCAGCTCATGACGTCACACATGACCACGCGAGAGTGAATTCGAGAATTATTAAGTATGGTCATGTGTGACGTTGTGAGCTGCATGAGTTTAGTATCAATTTATCAGTGCTTCTTCTCTATTGAAAATGTTTCCAAAGAAAACATTCCTGAAACGAAAAGTGCTGAAATTATTGCTTTGTTCAAAGAAGGATTATTCCAAGTCAAAATTGCAAAAGTAAAATACTCAATAAATGGTGTACAAACAACCATTAAAAGATATAGCGAAACCAATTCTTTCAAAAATCGTGATGGTCAAGGCCGGAAAAGGTGTCTAAACTCAAAGGAAGAACGTTAAAGAGGGTATCTATAGGTGATAGGAAAATCTCTTCCAATGCGACTGCTGTTTTTCGAGAGGCAACAAAGTGATATCGACTCGCACAATTAGAAGAAGCTGGCCTCAAAGGATGTAAAGCTAGAAAGATATCATTGCTGTCTGAGGTTAATAAGAAAAAGAGGCTTTCTTTTGCAATGAGCGTGAAATTTGGACGGCAGAGGATTGGAGAAAAGTTGTCTGGTCTGATGAAAGCGACTTTGAAGTAAGTTCCTTTATTAGTTGAAACTAATTTATTTAGTATAATTGATTTTGTTTTAGACTGCATTTTTCTTGAATAGAAAATTATCCCTACATTTTTTATTTTTATCAGATTTTCGAACCTCTGGAGTTGTTTATGTTCGTCGAAGAGTTGGGGAAGCATATGATGCTTAATGTATTGCACCAGCTGTAAAATTTAGAGGGGGAAGCGTAATGTTTTGAGGTTGCATGTCATCTTCTGGGACAAGAATGTTATTCACATGTGAGGGTAGAATGAATTCCAACACTTATACAAGCATGTTAGACCAATGTCAACAACCATCATTAAAGAAAATTTTCAATAATAACATACCATAAGGCGTAATCTTCCAACAAGACAATGCACTATGCCACACGTCCAGAGTTTGGTTGGTTTGAAAAGAAAGAAGTGAGGCTAACGAAGTGGCCTACTCAATCCCCGGACCTGAATCCCATTAAACATTTGGGGTCATACTTAGGTACAAGTGTGAAGGTGCACAAATATTCTTGAAAACGCGAATTAGACGCCAAACTTCATAAAGAATGGCAAAAAGTCGAGTCAAACTGGTTTCTGATATGCAAAAGCATATAAAGGAAGTTATAAAAGCAAAAGGAGGCCACAAAAGTGTTAAATATAGGTTAAATTTACTTTAATAGATTGTTTCTTTTTATTTAAATGATAAAATAAATAAGTTTCAATTATATTCAACTAGCAGTAGAGCCCGGCGTTGCCCAGGGATGTAACAGTAAGAGATAGATCAAGTATCGACCATCATAAAGACTGAAAAATAAAATTGACAAAGATTATTGTTTAAGGTTGACGGGCACGCATGTCTTAATTAGTTTTTTTTTGTTTTTTAGTTTTTTTATGAATTGGTCAAACCCAAACTCAAACAAAAACATTGCTTTCAATCGTTATGAGTCTACTGATTGAATAGAATTTTATTATAAACAATTGTCTTGTAAATGGAATTTTTAAAGCATTCTGAATGTAAAAATAAAGAAAAAAGTGTGCAAGACAATAAGAAACACTACCTGCCAAAAAAAGTGAAGTTTTGTTGAAATCGGTTGAAAAATGTAGGAAATCCGATCCCATATATAAAGGAACACACACACACACACACACACACACACACACACACACACACACACACACACACACACAAACCTGGGTTTTATAATAAGTATAACTCGATATGAGTTGTTCCCCTTTCATTCTCGCGACAGAATCGTGTTTTATCGTGTTTTCAAATTGATTTCGTGCAAAAGCAATTGTGTTTTTCCAATTTTTGGCATTGTCAGAACCACCGCAAGGTAATTTTACGCAGTCCTGTGAAGTTTTGTTGAAATCGGTTGAAAAATGTAGGAAATCCGCTCCAATATATAAACGTACAGACACACACACACACACACACAATCTGCGTTTTATAATAAGTAAGATTATATTCCTAACTTTTATACACCTAACCCATAATTCTATCCATGGCTATATATATATATATATATATATATATATATATATATGGATGCTAATAAACCTTGAATTTAAAATTCGTTTCTTCTATAATCTGTTCAATTTAGTTTGAATAACACATCTTTCTTTCTAGATTCCACTATCTTTCATTATTATATATATTCTTTTACAGATTCGGTCGCAAGACCATCATCATCGGCGCACTCATGCTGCAAGGTATTGCTGGAATTCTGTCTTCACAAATTATGAATATTAATGTGATCCTTGTGCTCCGTTTTTTGACAGCCGTCGGAGGAGCTGGTTCTTTTATTCCATCAGTTGTCTTTGGTAAGACTTTTGTCAAAAGTTCAATCGTCGATATTCTTTAATTGTTGTTGACTATGAAGCTTCTGTCATGAGTTTGAATAGAACAACTTGGACATTGACAATGAACAGAAACGCCATCTTGTTTAGTTATGAAGTAAGTTTACTGGAGCACACGGCTTAATGGAGGTGCGTCGAGAACATGTTCATTAAGAAGTGTTCTTCGGTACGATGCTTTTCAAAATTTCAATCGGTGAAATTCTTCATTGTCTGAAGATTGTTTTTAACAAGATATCCCTTGGTCTGTAATAAAAGCTTCTGACTCAGCGAACACAAGTTATTTAAAAACATTGCAACAGATTTACTCAAGAATTGTTAGTGAAATTGAGTAGAGGGAACTATTCGGTTGCCGTCTATGATTGTGATTCACGAAGTCACAAGTCATCGTGAACGAGGTTTTGAGCCTACATGACATCTTAAACGACAAAAGCTGCTATCCTATATACTAAACATTCAAATATACTAGCAAATAACTGCAATCTTGACTTATAGAAATGACATTATCATAGTGTCGCGTGAATTCTTGCAAATAGGAAAATTTAAAATTTAACATCATTATGTATAAGAAAATAAATCTTATTTTTAAAAAGCTTATAATCTAGGAAGAGAAAATTTAAATGAATTTTCTGGTTCTTATGAAGCATTACTTCCGAAATAAGAGTTTAATGCTTGAGAGCTTGAGTGAAATTATCAAATACATTAAAATAAACTTTAAAATATACAAAAAACCCGTGCCAATAAAGATAAAAAAGTAACGTTGGTATATAGATACTTTCATCTTGTAGATCGCTCTCTATCTCCCTCACACACAGACACACACATTCTCTATCTCTCTTACACACACACACACGCGCTCACACACGCGCGCGCGCTCACACACACACACACACACACACACACACACACAATTTCGAACCCCACCGGAGAACATATTTTATTTATTAAACATTTCGAATGAGCATGCTTACAGACGTAATTCCCATGGTTCCAGAAACATGTGACGATATTCAGTCACCCCCCACGCCTACGTGGGTGTCATGTGGCACAAAGGCCTTTTTAATGTGGGCACTCCGAGCCCGTGTGCTCGGCCAAAAATATGCCCATTGAACCCGTATAAACCGGTTCAGGGCCGGTTTACCTCCCCGAAAGAGACTCCGCCCTTCGGCGTAGCCTCCTTCGGGTTCCTCCCGTCCGTAGGAAAAGTGTTCAACCAAACAGTCGCTCAGAAAGTACTGGGTCGACTGACTATAAACAGAAACATGTGACGTCTACACACATGGATAACCACAAAAAGTAACGATCGGAATATATATATATATATATATATATATATATATATACGAGTGGCCAGTTATTATCTCTATATATATATATAGAGAGAGAGAGAGAGGAGAGAGAAAGAGAGGGAGAGCGAGACAGACAGATTAGAAAGGACTCGGTTGAACTTCGAATGCATTGGATTCGGATAAAAAAATATTTTCCAAAACTTGGGAAAGATAAATAAGGTAGTTAAGTGTAAACGTTTACAGATTAAGCTTAAAGTGACTGAAATCCACATATTTGCAAAGCACATTTGGGATCGAATTTACAAAAATAGGGAATTATCTACGTGTTTCAGTTTACCCACCGTCGCTCTACATTAAACATCTATGGTGCAATTGAACATATTGCAAAAAAAATAGTTTCTAAATTTTATGTTTCTTACAGATTTCTAATGTTATCCTGATGTTTTGCATCTTTTAATTTGATTTAATTTGCAGGAGCTGAAATCTCTTCGATGAAATACAGAACGAGTGCATCCTTTGCTGCATGTATATATGTATCAATCGGATTCTTTATTATTAGCTTATTGGTATATTATATACGGACCTGGAAACTGATCATTCTGCTGGTTTCTCTGCCCTCAATACCGGCTGGATTATTTTACATTTGGTAAGGATGTTCGGAAAATAATGTCTGATTTTAGAATAAACTTTTTAATTTTGTTCTAATATATTAATCACTAGCAGCATGGCCTGGCGTTGCCCGTACTTGATTCAAAAATCGTACGACTCATACAGCAATCGCTATCACTTGACTTAAAATATTTTTGCCCTTCCTTGCCTTTAAAGGAGTTCCCTTTGCCGTGCTGATGTTGCTACATGCCTTACTTCTTGCCTATCTCACACTGCGATTTTTTTCTAAGCTCTATACTAAACATTAAATCTGTTATGAAACAAGAACTAAACAAAATGAACACAAAACGATCAGCTTTAAAAAAGGACTCGTAACCGGAAAAACCGAATGAAAAAAGAATGTTAACAACAAATACTTTTTCACACCCAACCGAGTTCTGCGGAATCAGAATCAACTTTGAGTTTAAGCAAGCGAATGAGCCAATTAGAGTAAAGTGCCATGCAGATTTAAATTTTTTCCACTTGTGACGAATGCAGCTATCGATTTTTTGCATGCTAGCATGCTAGTTAACATTCGTGTCAGTCAGCTGTTAACTCTCACGCTGGCCAATAGAATTTTCCTGCCTATTTGTGAAAGCCAGCTATTGGCTCTCACTCTGGCCAGTATAAAATGGCCGCAAACTATATGAAAACTGCCGTAGAAGCATGAAAAAAATCGATTATTTCCACTATCGATTGGAGTTGGCAAAACTCCGGCTAACTTGGAACATGTGCATGTAAATGTTGGTGCAAATCCGTCGAAAATTGCGGCCGTGTATTCGTTACACACACACACACACACACACACACACACACACACACACACACACACACACACACACACACACACACACACACGCACACACACACACACTGCCTTTTATAGATAGAGATATGACATTCCCTCAGAGAACTTCCACCAGCAATTGACAGTGAACGTCAGAAAATATTTTTCAAACAGATCTCAATATCAGTGATATGTCTCAGATAATGGGCGTGACCATTAACACAATGTGGGACTATCTAAAAAGATATAAAAGGTAAAGAAACTAAATAAATGGTTGAACTAAATGAAAGTGAAAGAGATCAACGTTTTTAAGTGTTTTCGATGTTGCATCTCCAAAAGACTTTCCAAAACTGAAATAGTACTAAGAAAAGATTACGGTAATTGTCTAGAGATTCGCTATTGGTTTTTTTCCCCTATAGTGTTCTGGAATCTAACCAGAACATCACTGCCGAAGTTTATCACCAGCAATTGGATGAAATACACATCCATGCAAAATGCGGCCGGCACTTGTTAATCGACAAGGTCCAATTCTACATCAGGACTATGCTTGGCCACATGTCGACAGGATGATACTACTGCTTGACTATCACTTTTCTAATCACCTTGACAAGCCAAAATCCATTCCATTGCAAAGAAGATACAGAAATAGCTTTCAAAGATTTCTTGGCTTCTAAACCTTTAGAATCGTATCGGAAAGTTATAAACAACTTTGTAACACGATGGCAGAACTTTTTAGACGTTCAGTCTTCCTGTTATAACTGATTTAAACGCTGTTATTTAGAAATAAAAGTTGACACTAAAATCGAACAGTATTTTCCGAACATTGTTTTCTATCTTCTCCTTTCTATTTACTCAGCCCTTTTGAAAAAATGCTTCTTGAATGCAGATTTAGTTTACGAAATTTGTATTTTTATTTCAGTAAATGTTTGTTGGAATGTTCTTAAAACATTTCGCTGTTATTACTCAATTTAGGTTTTTGCCAGAATCACCACGTTGGCTACTATCCGTTAAAAAGAAAAAGAAAGCAGAAATAATTTTGAATAAAATGGCCGAAATTAACAAGCGCGATTTCCCTTGCAAATCGGAAGAAATTGAAATCCCGGTGGTCGAAAATCGAACTGTCAAGCTCTGGAAAATATTAACGATTCCACAACTTAGAAAGAGGACCCTTATTCTGATGTTTAACTAGTAAGAATAATCTCATCTCACTTTGTGCATTTAATTATATTAAGTATTATCAAGATTTAATTGTAGTAGGAATTACAAAAACAAAACAAAAAAAAAATGGAATAATCTAAGCAGTTGCACGCCTCTTTCTCAGAGCATGTTCAAGGTAAATAAATAAAATTACTGTAGACACCGATTAAAAGAAACATGAAGACAGAAAGAAACTACAGCCACCCTTCAATAACATATTGCGACCAGTATATTGTGTTATGACCAGTTCATATTTAGTCCAAAAAATCAATACTTCTGTTTAAATAAGGATGGTTGTTTCGATTTAATAAAAATACTTTCCAGGATTTTTAGAGGATAGCTAGAATACGATTTACTCATTAATAGGTATAGATAGGTTCGTCTATCGCCCGTTTCACACTTCTTCCCGGGCTTTTAAGCAGGACTAGATGTTTATTCCTTGTTTCTTCTTTAGGATTGGGTTTCCGGTTCCTTCTAAAGTCTACTTCAACTCTATTTTTATAAAGTCTCCGCCAAAACTCTGAAATTTCATTGACTATTTATTTTCTCCTCAATAGGAATAGAGAGTTCGCCTATTGCCCGGTATTTTGAACAGGAGTAGAAATTTATCCCTTTTTATGATTGGGTTTCTGTTTCCTTCCAACGTATATTCATTCACCTTCACTCCCCGTAACACCTTTGCGTCTTAGTAACATTATCGCCTTATTTGAATTGAACTGATTAAAAAAAAAATTCAGAATAGAAAATATATCCATGTGGAAGGATGCAGCATATTCTTGATTTTTAATAAGATGTTCTGTGATTGCAGAACCCGGATGTGTTGGTACAGCTACGTAAAGCTCGTCGACCCTTTTCTAATAATCAACGGGACTATTTTTGTATCAATTATTGAAGTTATAATTTACTATTCTTGTCAGACCTCTCTTAATAAATATCAATATTCTTGGAACATAACGTGTTAAGAATTGTGCACGTGATCTTCTTAGATTTTCCTTATGTTCTCAACGCCTTTTTTTTGTTCAGCACGTCAAACTTAACAAGATATAAATATTTTGCATAGTTTGGAGATCAATTCATTTTTAAAGAAAAGGATTGCCTGTGCCGCGTGCGTACGTGCGTACGTGTTTCATCCTATTAATAGAGCGGATGTTAATTTGGACTTCATAACCCTCTAATGATGGCGCAGAAAATTGGTGTCAAGCGAGGCATTGTATATTATTAATAGAAAAATGACTTCGCAGATTGTTTTTCCAAAAGAAAAAGAAATGTAATCCTGAAACAAGTTCAACAGTTATTGATCGACAGAAGAATTAATTAGTATTTTCAACTGGGAAATTGTTATTTATCATTTTATTATCTATATTCTCAGGTGCGTGTCGAGTTTTGCCTATTACGGATTGATGCTGAACACCGAACATCTAAGTGGAAACATCTTCCTGAATTTCTTCTTTGGGGCTCTTGTAGAAGTTCCGGGCTACCTTATGTATTTGGCTTTACTGAACCGCTTTGGCAGAAGGAACTTGTATATTGCATTTATATTTTGTGGCGGAATTTGAGGAATGATGACAATTTTTCCACGAATGTACGCTTCAGATGGTAAGAGAAAATTATCTACTTTTTTCTTTCGTTCTAAGATTTGTTTGACCAATTATTGAAGGAATCTCAGACATATATATATAATTACTTGGAATTCAGAACATAGAATCAGTATGCAGAACTGAAACTGAAATTGATTTCTGTGACTAGTTAGTAATCACTGTCGGGAGGTCTTAGATTACCCAAATACATATACTTAAAAATTACATATTCATATACTTAAAAATTACATATACATATATGCACACACATTTTAGAGTCTGTCAATATTTTTCTGAAGCCTTTGCTATCTCTAATTTTGCCACCATTTTTGACAAAACTGCGTTCATTTATTTTTATCAGATAATCTTTATCAATTGGTAAATATGATTTGGTTTTTCTAATTCAGATTTACAATGGATAGCAACAACATTGGCCATATTAAGCAGATTGTGTATTACGGGGGAATTTGGAATAATCTACCTGCACACGTGTGAATTGTACCCCACCTGTGTGAGAAACGGAGCGCCGGGAGCGATGTCTACATTTGCTAGATTAGGTGGTGCCGTAGCTCCGTACATAATGATGATGTTATGTAGAATTTGTCAAATTGTGTTAGAGTCAAAATTTCAGATAACTTTGACTAGCTTTCAGAATCAAACGGGAAACGGATTTAGAAAAGAAAAGAAACGTTGCAACAAGAATAAATTTCATTCATTTTTTTATAAGAAATCTCTGGCAACAAATCAAATTTCTGTTATTTTACGAGATTTTATACCCACTGATGAACCCAGAAAATGTTGACATCAATCATAATTGCTGCGTTGTAACAAATGCGCTTGTCAGAACATAGGTATACAAAAATCAAGGGACATAACTCTAATTAAAAAGACATCCGAACTGGCAGAATTTATGAGGTACTTTTGTTCATCTGTAGCGCATATTCATATGTAAGTGATCTGAAGTGAAATTCAGCTACTATCAAAATGTTCCGAAGAGCCAAGACTTACTGATACGAAATTAAATAGACACTTTTCTGGTAAGTATGATCAATAAAACCAAGCATTGGGTAGAAATCATAGTGAATAAATGAAACAAAATACAGTTAATCGATACTTAATTATGGAGCTGTTTAGCTGCATGTCACTCAGTTAACCATGCTAACCAATAGCTATCATCAAAAGCTTTATAAATCAAGACACAAGCATTAGTAGTTAATCATGTATAAATGGGAGAAGAGTACTGGATTCGTTGTGTTTTAATTTCTCTTCAATAAGGTTGATGACAAAATACGCGTGGATCATTAATCTGAGGAAACAACAAATCAGTGTAATCATATTAGACAACGTTCTGCTCGGAAACACAGTCGCCTCATTGAAGTTGAATGCACTTTTCGCCTATGCCCAATTTCATCGGTAGTCAATATCAGGTACATTTCTCTCAGTGAACAGGGATCTATCGATGGTAGCAATATAATTCAGCATGATAATTAACATTGCACAAATTGTCAAGGATTCATTTAAGGAAAATATGAAAAGGTTCACTGCCATTCGAGCCACCAATCTCCTCAGATTATAACCTCGTTCAAACTTTATGGGATATCACATAAATTACAGCAGTTTAACGATCTGCTATTAACTTTATTGCACCACATCGCTGACGCAACCTTGTAACTGCTTGTAGGGTTTATGTCAGATCGGTCAAATTTTTCATGAATATCGACTGCGAAAATTTTATGAAGTGTTAAAATATTTATGCTCATCTGTGTCTTATGCAACAACTCAAAAGGTTATTAATTTGATATATCTTTCTATAGATATATACTGTAGACTAATGAACTGTTAACTGTTAAATTAATATTAATTTTTTTTTATATTTCTTCATTGTATTTCTAATGATTTTCGGCACCTAAAATTTTGCAAACTTCATTAATTATAGGAAGAAGTATAGAGTCCCGTCGAAATTTGAACACGCATCCCCTTATTTTGGGTCACCTGCTTTTAAGTGAAAGCACCTTTTACCCACTAAACTAAGTGAATCATTTAGGTTCTTCAGATTTGTTTTTTTAATTATAGTCATGGCACATTATCATTTGAATATATGACTTTTCAACCTGTGAGCATTGACGCATTCCCGTTGGAATCTTCAAAACTATTTTTGTATGTGGAGACTGATCTGTAAGTCGGAGGATTTATTTTGTACTGTTCTATTCATATTTAACATAATCTGCTCTTTGTTAAATAAATATTTTTTACAATACTGTATAAAATTCGAAGTTGGGATATTTGTTAGGCTAATGTTTACCTAGATGCCTAAAAATTCCGTTATTGTACATAGAGTAACACCATGGCATTTGTAATAATAATGGTTATATTAGCCGTTTCCCTATAAGGAGATATTTGTCATTTATTGACGGGGCAGCTTGTACTGCTGTCAGTTAAAATTTATTAAATCTGTTTTTTAAAAATATTTTCAGGAAAATAAGTTTCTTAAGTCAAGTAGCTGTTCTTGCTTATTCCACTATTGATGGTGATTTCCTTCCTAACCTTTTATTTGAAGTAGTGTGGAAAGTCAACATCTTGATGACGTCATTATTTTCTCTTTGAGTTACATTTGAAAACCATTTTAGCTGTTGCTACCGTTGAAAGCCCTCAAGGGGTGTGGATTTTGTTATTTGGTAGAGTTTATTGTTTGCGTTTTTGTAGTGCCTGTAAGCGAGTTTCTAACTAGCCTGGTCTTCATCAAGAACAACAGGCTTCACTCGCTCAACTCCATTTTTAATCATTGATCTTAGAAAAAGGTTGTGAACTGCAGAAAGTATGAAGTCGCGATCTGACGAGGCTATTTAAGAAAGTGACTCAAGTTTTCAAGTTAATGTTTCGCTTTTGTAGAAATATCTTTACCATTATATTAACAATATCTTTACCATATACTAACTGTGAATAAGTTGTAAGTATAAAATTATCCAAAATAGGTCACTGGAGCAAATATTAGTTTGTTTGTCAACATTTTACGGGTGAAATTTCTACAGCAATTTGATTTTTAATTGTTTCATCCAAATGTAATAATTCCGATTCAAGTCTGTGGAAAACGTGGTGCCGAGGTGTGGCGTAATGTGTTATATTCCTGGAGGTTGGCATCAGCGATTCTGATGGATTGCAAAAATAAAAATAAAAATAATTCTCTATGATTTCTAAACATATTAGTTGCGTTTTGAAGGCGTTAAAATTTACAAGTGACTTTTTTTTAACCATTTAACAACTGGGTGGAGGTCATTTACGAGATCAGCTCCCAGTTTTACTTCATGGGGCCTATCGAACTGCATTAAAGATTTAAATAATTGTGTCATAAGGACAAATACCAAATTGGGGACTGATCAATTTTCGGTACTAAACAGTAGTCTGTTTTAATTTCATTGTAGTCTCGGATAGTATATCTTTCAGTACGTGGCCTACATGTTGGCTAAATTAATGTTCGACCCAAGGAAATATGTGTTAACTGAAATAGAAACAAATTTAATGCGAAATGATATTTTCTTATTTTAGGTACCCTGTTTTTCAGGATGTGGGTATTCATAGGTCTTGACAACTTCCTATGTGTTGTACACTAAGCGATGTTTGACATTTTATTATATCTTCGAAATCTGTTCTGAGATGTATTTACAAAAGCTTGTTATGTATGTCACTCGACGTGTCATCCTACTCCTCTTGCTTCCACTATGTGTTTGTAAGTGTCAAATTCACCAAAGCTACTAGTCTGAGAACAAGCAATCGTAATCATCCGTAATGATGGAATGCAAAAAATGATGTTTAAGTGTTAACAGTTACGTTTTTGAGGCATTAAAATTTACAAGCCATTTATTGTCCCAGTTAAAAACTGATTGGAGATCATTTACCAAATCATCTGCTAGTTTTACTATCGGACATACTATTAGGCCATGACTAAATAATGGTGTCATAAGGATAAATACCGATTTCGGATTTGATTAAATTTAAGCATTAGATAGCCAACCAGATAATAAGAAATGTATTCGTTAAGATAAAAGATTAGTATTCAAGCCTAGTTAAAATCCATACAAATATGTCAATTGAAATACAAACGAAATTAATTCAGAATGAATTTTATGTACGGCGTCTTTTCAGGATGCGGGTGTTCATAGGTCTCTAGAACTTTCTGTTTTACAGTAAACAATATTTGACTACTTAATATATCCGCCAAACCTGTTCTGAGATCCATTTACACAAGATCGTTACTTAGGTTACACTGATCACTCACAGGTTCCTTCTCAAGGCCTTGCATTCAATATGTTCATGTGAGTGTCAAACTCGCAAAACAACTATCCTCATTATGTGTTCCAGTAATTGAAACTGTTTCATTCAGATTTTGAGTATAAATATATTTTCTTTCCATTTTCTTTAAAATCTTGCTCATATTTTCCATCCATTGTATTCTCAACATCTCCATTGTGTTTTCAATCTTCTCTTCAAATCAAATGAAACTTTCGATTATTCACTGTTAGTTCTCCAACTTCTTAAGACTTTGATGAGCTTTTAGAAATCATGTTTTGCTATTTCAATACACATTCAAATTTATTATATTCATATATACAAATATATAAGATATGCATCCATCCACACATACACATACACACACACACACACACACACACACACACACACACACACACACACACACACACATATATATATATATATATATATATATATATATATATATGTATATATATCTATATATGTAAATATTTGTCCATTGTACATATTGATTAGGATGAAGTTTTAAAGTTATTATCATCCCCTTCCTAACGATAATTGTATATGTAGGAAGAGTCATGAATTCATATCAATATTACAGTGATATTGTATCTGCAGTATGACTGAGAAGTGTAAATGAACAATTTGGCTGATAGGGAAAACCTTCGTGCGGATTGGTCAGTGATTGTGACTAACTAGTGTGAAAATAA